TTACTGTCTGTGACCCAAGCCTGACCTCGGCCCGTCCTAAGCATGCTGCGTGCACCTGTGACTGCCCTCTGCTAGCTATGGCACAGACTGCGGAAGGCCACCCCACGGGTCTCCTCATTTGTACCGGCCGTGGGGCTTCCAGACCACCTTAATGACCAGCCATCACCGATCATCTGGGCCTTCTTCAACCTGCCGACAGCACCTGCCGGGTTCTCAAGTTGCCACTTTTTCCCACTGGATTTCAGCAGTCATTCATGGCTAGTAGCAGACAAGTCCCAACAGCCTAATAAATAATCCCCAACCAAACCGAAATGTGTCCCCTAGTTGACAGACTAACAGGCACTAGAGAAAGAGCTCATTTGGGTAACCTGATCAACCTAAGTTCATGCCTTTTTCTGTATTTTTAAAAATACAAAGTATGACCTCATTCAACCATCTGACACAATAAAAAGACTCACAACTACTTACTGACTGAGGACAATGGGGCACTAGATGGAGGGAGAGCCTGTCCTCGCTGTGACAGCCCGAAGGGACCTGGTGTGAGACACCCAGGCATGTACCTGTGGCCCTCACCATACCAGGCGCCCTTTCAGAAGCTGAAAAAGAGCTCACAGCTTTCAAATGCATAGCTGAGGCTTCTTCTGAAGATCTGAAAGGCAGGCGGCTGCTGCCCTGCCCAGTCCTGGAGCCGGTCACTCCGACACAGGGTGAAACAGCCTTTCAAACAAAGGAGACCCTGTGCACCTGAGGCAGCCCGCAGGGGAGTGGAGAGAGAGGCAGGTGGCTCAGGGGACGGGCGGTCTGGTTTCAATGGTGCCTGACCCCAGTGCGGAGGGGGTGGCGCAGTGTGGCAGCTCTTCTCCTGGGAAGACCAAGTTGCAGGCACCTGTGTGAGGTCCTGGACACCCAGTTCCTTCCCTGCCTCCTATGTCTCTAGTTCTTGCTCATTTCATCTTTTCCTGGTAGAGAGCTGCGTGCTCAGGGCGCCATGCTGTGAGCTGGCTGGGGAACAGGCTGCCTCAGCCCTGGAGAACGCCTCCTCATCTCCTCCTCTCCCGCCCCCCCCCCATTCTCCATCCTGGAGGTAGAGGCTGCTCGTACTTCGCAGGCTCTGGGCCTCACTGGGGCCCAAGCAGGGGGAGCTTAAAGAGCACCATGATGGTGGCTCCCCCGCAAGTCAGCCCGGGGCTTGCTCCTCTCTGACTTCATCCCCAACTGTCCAGGCTGGCGCTTCTCATTCCCTGGGGCCAAATCTTCTCCTTGAGTTGACCTGCCCCCACTTCTACCCCTCTGCCGTTCTCTGTATCTTCTGGTCTCCCGACATTCTCCAGCCTATCCTGGGAAGCCCTCCCTGACTCATGAGGTGGGTCGGAGCCTTGGTCTGGTCCTCTCATAGTTCCCCAGATTATATCTATCAACCTGGCTGTGGCCACATTTGATGGTTGGTCTAGCCATCTCTGAGCATCACCTTCTCTGCTACCGTAGTCAGTGTCTTGTCCTCCTAGCGCCCACTGACTATCGTGGATTAAAGGATGAATGAATGAGCCTTGCTCCAGCACATCCTGGGTTCTGATCACAGACATAAGTCTCTTTACCCAGACAAGCGTTTAACAGGGGCTGGCTGTGCTCTAATGAGGCTGGTGGAGGAAGGTCCTTCGTAGTCCTGACCCAAATTTCCCAAGACCTTCCCCTTCTCCTGGTGATTCTCTAGGGGCAAGGGCTCACCTACCTCAGTGCCATACCCATGCACCGTCTTCTGCCTTCCTGCAAACCTCCCCTGCAGCCGGCTCTGGCTGTTCACTTCCAGCCCTGCCACGCTGCCCTGCAGCCACAGGCCCCAGACACCACGTCATAGGCACAGCCTCCATCTGCTGGCCAGTTGCTGTGGTCCTTGCCTTGATCTGAATATGTCCCCAAATCCATGTGTTACAATTTGGTGAGCCCTCATACTGGGATGGGGGCGGTGGGAAGTAACCCTGACTATGGTGTTGAGAAGGGGGGCCTTTGGGAAGTGATTAGAAATGGGTGGCTGGGCTGGGCCCCATGATTGACTCCTGGTAGCTTTACAAGGACAGGAGAGAGCAGAGACACACACATGTGGATGCAGACACACGTGACCCTGCCTTCTCACCAGGTGATGCCCTCTGCCACGTTATCCACCAGCAAGAAGACTCTCACCAGGAGCTCTTAGACCTCAGATCTTCAAACCCATGAGCTAAATAAATCTCCATCTTTTAAAAAAATGTTATGTATGTATGTATGTAAGTATGTATGTATTTTTGCTATAGAAAGTTTGTACTCACTGGAGAGACAGACAGAGAGCGAGAGAGAGAGAGAGAGAGTGAGAGAGAGTGAGAGAGAGAGAGAGATTGAGCAATCACTTCCCAGGAGGTGCAATCCCTTCTCTTCTATTATACTCTTGGGATTTTGGACATGCATTTTGGGTATGGGCATGGTGTATTTTTCAAGCTACTGGGCCCACAATTCAAACCACATAGCTGACCATGTGGGATCCAACTGCCTTAACCTCCATACCACTGGCTGGCCCCTAAATCTTAATTTTTTAAAAAATCACCTAGACTCGGATATCTCTGTTATTAGCCACACAACAGATGAGAACAGTCCCCAATATGACCTGGTCTTGAACAGACAAACCTAAGGACAATTTTTTATTCATTTAATTTTCCTCCCTTTGTATTCCAGACACGAGGAAGTGTCTGATGGTGGAAAGAGCGTAACTTCTAGTCTGGAGCTTGGCAGTCTGAGAGCCCTCACATCCAGGTGTATGACCTTCAGCCAACCACTTACACAGAATCTCAATGTTCTTTCCCATAACTTAAACATACTAGCACACAGGTCACAAGGGGATTAGGATACTTAAAGGGGAAAGCATAAGAAAGTACCCAGGACAAGCTCAGGACCTAGAGAATTTCAACGAATGCTATTTTTCTTTAAGCACAAAGGTCACTGACTTCCCTGCTGACCTGGACTGAGACTCTGAGCAAGCGAGCCAGAAGAAGATTGTTCAGCGTTCCTCTAGTGGAGACTTCTAATTGTCCCACAGTATCTGCTTGCCTCTTTTCTTGGTGATCAAACCTTCAATTTTTAAAATATTTATTTATTTACTTATTTATTGTTACTACTTAAAAAAACTTTTTAAAATTATTATTATTTTTTATTTGATCAGAGAATGACAAAGAGAGAGTGGGAAAGTGAGCAAGCAAGCTGCCAGGTCTGGGACTCAAACCACAGTTGGGCATGTGGGAGTCCAGTGCCTTAAACACCACCTGCTGACTCCCAAATCTTCCATTTTTAAACTGTACATAGCTGCTCCAGATGAAATGACATTTCTTGGCCTCCCTGCAGGTAGATGGTGCCATGTAACCGGTGGGGTGTGGATGGAAATGCTGTGACTTCTGGGAGGGGTGCTCATCTTTTTCCTACCATCTCTAACAGCTGGAATAAGACATGGCAGTGGCAGTTGCGTGGACATTCCAACTATGAATGCAGAGCAAGGGTAGAGTTGTGGAACTAGAAGGAAGGTATCTGGGCCCGTGTCCTCTGCAGCACTATTCTGGCATGGATCACCTCCAAGAGCACTTCACCTAGCTGAGAGAGAAATCCCTTTATATTTGGCTTAAGCCACTGTTACTTTGAGTTTTCCTTCACTCTCGGACAGATCTCGCCCTTACTGGTTATAGTCATGTACCTGTTTAATCGAGGCCCCTTCCTGGATAACTAATTAGTGGAAGCTCACTCTAGGTCTTCAAATCACTCCAGAGACCCCCAGAGAAAGAGACCACCCCTATGGCACCTCTGAAGCAAGAAGTATGGGTTCCAAGGGCTGTGACTTTCCGGGGCCTGCAGACCACCTGGACTCCGAGGTGAGGGTTAGCCCTGGAGGAGAGGGAGGGGTTTACTGAGCATCTACTACACAGCAGTGTCTCGTACATATATGACTGGGCCCCGGTAGGGACAACATGAACTTAGTAAGGCATTAAGGGCTATCGTTAGCCTTGCTGATTGGACATCCGCTGTGGTGACAGTCTTAGAAAGCAACTTACTCTTTGATACTCACATCAGGGTACTTAATGGGGCTTTAACCAATTCAAACAGAGAGTATTTTACAGCCCACTCACTAGCTGCCTGTCCCACACTGTTTCTTTACTAGTCTGAGAGAAGAAGCTTGTGTCAGAATGTAGACCAACTGCATCACCTAAGCACGTTGTTTCATTCTATTATTAGAAAGCTTTCTCAATGAAGAAAGCAATGGATTGACATTGCTTCCGGCATAAGTTCCTCATCTGGTTTCAGACAGCACTTTGCATAGCTGTGCTCCAGAATGGAGCTGCTCTGTTGTGAAGCTTTCAATATATTCTCGGTCCCAGCCCCAACCAAGTGAATCAGAATCTCCAAGGATAGAACCCACGTCCAGGTAAAGCAACAAAGTTGATTCTGAGGAACCCCAGGGTAGGGAGTCACTATTTGGACGTGACAGAGAATAAAGGATACAGTCTGTCTTCCCAGGCCCAGTGCAGTGTGAACTTCTGTATGCACTTGTCTCCAACATAAGCTGGCCCTGTGGGGCACAGTGCCACTTTTTATAATCTTTCCTGGGTGCTCCTTAACCACCTATTGATTTGCTAGGGGTTAGCAAATTTCCTTGGATGAGATTTATCAAATGTCTTATCTTTGGATAAGACATTTGATAATACTTTTTCTATTGGCCTTTGTTCATCTCATAGCTTTCCCCAAAGCTTTCAGCCCTTCCTGGATTTATTCTTCCATGGAACATAAATCCAGTTTCTTTAAAGCCACCACAGAAGACAGAAAGGAAGTTCTAGCTTTCCCCATGGCAGAGCCCCTAGTACCATCGCTGTTGCCATGAGACACCTCTGGTTGCATGAGAGGTCTGGTGTCCACAAAACAGGTAAGGCTCTGACATGGTGACATCTTCTGAGGACTCCACGGTGAAGGAACCTCCACCCACTGCCCCTTACCTGCTGTTCCCAGACTGAGCAGCACAGCCACCCAGAGGACCCAGAAGAAAATGAGGATGGCAAATGTCCATACTGGCTGGAGCAGCAGGAAGGGAGAGCTGCTGATGGCTTTATTTGCAACTTGCAAAAGCTCAACTGTCAGCTTTATTCTCTTTCTGAAGACAAAAATCAAGATGAGCAGAACCGCCTGGTGAGAAAAGGGTCAGAGTAAAATTATTTCAAATAAACAGAGAACTGGGTAGAGTTTAAAACAAACCCACTACTCGACAGGCATTCAGCGAAATGGCTCTTTTAAAATAGTTACTTACTACTTTATAGTACTGAGTTATAACTGAACAGATGGATTCTCAAATGCCAACTGGGCACCCTACATGCACTGGTTCCTATGCTAGCTCCCGCAAGAGTAATGGTGAACAGGACACAGTCCCTTCCTAAAGGCACTGGTCAGAGGGCAAAAGAAAAAGAAAAAGCAAAGGTCCATTAGGACCAGAGAGCCATCTCCTTTACCCTTCCCTAAACACAGTACACTCAGAGAACTGAAGATACTGCAAAAGGGCAAGGGACTATGAGTCTGAGGAGAAAGGATGGTGGCTATGTCTCCAAGCAACCTTCTGTGCTTTCTTCTCCACTGGCCAGTCCCTCCTAGACATATACATATCTATGAGTCTACACTAATTTAAACCATCATTCACCCCACATCCCCACCCAGCCACCGCCATGTCTACCCTCCCATCTATACATCCACCCCAACTCATTCTTTAACCACATACTAACCTCCAGAATCCAACACTCTCTTGAAACTGCTCTCCCTAAGGTCACTTCATGCGACTTCCTGAATGTTAAATCCCATGGAACATTTCAGATCTTACATTGGCATGGTGTGGCATTCGCATCTCTAGTCTGCTCCTGTTTTCTTAAAACTTTCTCCTCCCTCGGCTTCCATGGTCTTTCTTCTGGCTTTCCTACTTCTTCCATTATTGCTTCCCAGGATCTGTGGGGGGTATCTCCTACCCCGCTGTGATTTTAGCATGCTTCCTAAGGCTGACTTCCTCCACATCAAACTCCCCAGCCTCACCTTTCACTAGATGGGTAAGCACATCAGTTACTGATAAAGCCAGGGATATCCCACAGTGTCACAAGCTCAGCTTGTTCTGATCCAGATTCATCATATTCATTCTAACATCTCCTTTGCCTTCTCTGTTTTCTATATCCATGGGCCCTCATTTTTCTGGACTCTCCGAGAATAAGTTATGGTCCTCTCTTACGTGCTCCCACCTTATCCCTAATGGAGCACTCAGTATCTTCTACCGCAAATGTTTACTTGCCTGAATTCCATCATATTGAGCTTCTGGGAAGCAGGGCCGCCCCTTATTGTTAAGGGCTGGCACCGTGCCCAGCACACAGCACAATCCTAATTAATCAGGACCTGGATTTCTAAATACCTCTCAAGCAGTCCTCTCCTCTCTATCTCCACTGTTGCTACAATAATTAAAGTCTCATCCTCTCCCATCTGGACCCCAATAGCCTCAGTAGCTTTCTGAATGTAATTCTGGGGACCCCATTCTCACCTTGATACCGCTTTGCCTTATAGCTTAAGGGACCTTTGTAAAGCGTTAGGCCAAAACCCAGGATGGCTCCCAGTGCCTCTGGGAAAACATCAGACTCATTATTGCAGATCAGGACCTTCCCAGCATGACCCTTCCCCGCACCTGGATCTCACATGTACACCCAGGGAACTTCCTGAAGGTCTCCTGCCCAAGTAACGCCATGCATGCTTGGCCTGAGATGCCCTTTCTCTTAGAGCTGGTGTGGCATGTTCCTTCCCTCAAGGATTTCACAGTCAAGTGAAGGGAGGGCAGTGGGGAAAACTGTACAGAAGCTGCTCCAGGATCTGGGAGCAGAACCCCCTGACCCTGCAGTGGGGGTTGTCAAGAGGGGCCAAGTGAGACACCCCAAGAAGACCCTTCAGCTGTAAAGTCTGCATAGGTATAGGTTGAGCACCCTAAAAAGGGAAAAATCTAACATCTGAAATGCTCCAGAATCTGAAACTTTGAGTGCCAACATGATGCCACAAGTGGAAAATTCCATACCTGACACTTCATGTGACATGTCACAGTCAAAACACTACAATACGAAAATACCATGTAAAATTGGCACCAGCAGGTGGTGTAATGGTTACATTGCTGGACTCCCACATAGTCGACTGTGGCTTGAGTCCTGGATCCAGTGGCTTAAAACTCACACGGGACATGTGTGTGTGTCTGCCCAGAATCCCCAGAGGAGAACGGAGGAGAAGGATTGAAGGTGTGGCTGTCTCCCCTGGAGAGTGATTTCTTGCTTTCAGGGTCTCTGTCCCTTTCTGTCTCATTGGCAAGCACACGTGCCTTATAGAAAAGAAAAATCTCTCTCTTAAAAAAATATACTATATAAAATTACCTTCAGGCTATGTGTATAAGGTGCATATGAAACATAAACGAATTTTTTGGTTAGATTTGTGTCTCATCCCTAAGATATCACACTGCCTATATAAAAATATTCCAAAATATGAAAAAAAGTCCAGAACCCTGAGCACTTCTGGTCCAAGCATTTCAGATAAAGGATACTCAACCTATGCTTCCATCTCTGTGTTCTCAACACCTAATGCAGGCAGAGGGAGACAGAGATTTGTTTCTGTTTGAAACTGTAAGTAAAGTGGTATAATATTTAGGCAAATAGGCCTGGCTTGTAGCTCATAAGTGGAATATGTATTTTACAAGTTCTCTCTCTCTCTCTCTCTCTCACACACACACACACACACACACACACACACACACACACATACACAGTGCCTTTCTAAAAGTACGCCGCAAGTTCTCCAGTTCACTTGTGAGGCACCTGTTGGGAACACAGGAGACAGGAGCACACCTCCACCCGAGAGGTCCTGGTGGTGGACAAGGGCCTCTCTGCGATTCAGGCCCCTAGGCGAAGCTGAGTCACCTGGGGCTGTGACACAGGAGCGGAAGCAGTAGGGAGGCTTTAAGGTGAGCAAGAGCGGATGAGGGGTGCTGCAAGATGAGGGATGCACCCTCCTGCTCTACTACTACTCTCCTGCTAATGTTGGCTCTTCCTTTTCTTTCCCTTCTCTGGGAAGCAGGACTGAGAAGGGCAAGTGAGAAAGGGAATTCTCTTTCCTCTCGGAGACCAGAGCTGGGCTGGCCATGGTGCTTGGCCAGGGGGCAAGACTCGGCTGGTCCTTTTGTCCTCCTTGTGAGGCCCTTGTGGGCTCCATGGGAGCAGAGGCTGGGTGGGTTGGTGTGTGCATGAACCAGGGTAAGCATGGCATCCCTGGGCATGCACCCTGCTGCTCCACAGCCAGCCCAGCCTTCCCAGACTCAGTTCTCCAGCCGAGCCAGTGAGGACCACTTGCCAGGCAGCATTTGGGCAGCCTCATTGGGTGCATGCTTAGCTCCCATGGTGCAGATGCCCCTCAGGGGAAGGAAGCCCATACCCCGCGGGCAACTTTGCAATAGCATTCCCATTTGACAGATGAGGAGCCTGAGGCCTAAGAGGTTCAGTGATTTTTCCCAGGTCACACAGGAGGTGGTGGGACCTGCATGTGAGCATGGGCCTGGGACTGCAAAGGGCGTCTCTCTCTCAGGGCACCACACCATGAAGTTGCCTGCTGTGTCGTTCATTGTACCATGGGCCTGTGTTAGCCTGTGTTTGACATCCTGCTAGCTTATCGCTTAGTGCAGAGCCTTGTGTGAAAACGGAGATGATGACAAAGAATCTGGAGCTTCTAAGAGGACAAGTGTCAATCTAGCTCATCCAGCAATCGGCTCTTACCAGGGTGTCAAATGCACGGTACATGAACCATGGCTCCAATCTGCCCTCGACACCAGCCCCTGGTGGTCCTCATAGATGCAGCAAAAACAGCCTCTCTCTTCTCACAGCCATCCCGTTTCCCAACCATATTCTCAGTGAAGAGACTTAGTCCCTGACCCTGGGATCTGGGCAGCCACAAATACCTCCGCGTTGCGCGCACAGGAAGTCCTGTGGAGGGGAACTGTGGAAACCCCTGGATGCTGCTTCTCCATAAAATAGTGAGCAACACACCAGCAAGGATGACCGTGAGTTCCCTGAAATCAACCCCAGACCCTCCCCAGGATCTAGTGATCCTAGCACTTTGTTTTTTTAAGAGAGATTTTTGCTCTAGGGTGTGTGTGCTTGCCAGAGAGACAGAGACAGGAAGTAAGAAATCATCTTCCCAGGGAGAATGGCCATGCTGCAGTCCCTTCCCCTTCATTCTCCTCTTGGGATTTGGGGCATGCACGCGCACGTGCCAGGTGTGCATTTTAAGCCATTAGGTCCAGGACTCGAACCATGGTCGACTATGTGGAGTCCATACTATGTGAATGTAACCATCCATGCCATCTGCTGGTCCTAATACTAGCCCTTTTAAGGCCCCCTGGGAGAGATCTGAATTCATTTTGGTTGCCACTTACCCTCCCCTCACAACCGGTATCTGCTGTCTCAATGTTCTAAGTTCGCCTGTTTTCAAGAGTTCACTGAGGAGGCAACAGGTTCTCTGAAAACCAAAATAACCCCGTGGAGACAAAGGGCTCTGTGTGTTCCAGGACACAAGGAGCTGCCACGCCCTTCAGGGAGCCCAGCGCTTGTGCATCCTTGGCTGGAAGAGGTACCTCTCCTCACAAACAAGAAACAGGAGCTGTCCTGAACATGCTCCCCGACAGTGCCCACCTTATGACCTGTCGGGGTGAAAATGGTGTAACAGAAAAAAAATGGTGTATCGGTAAGGATAACAGACCATTCCTAGGAGACGGCAAAAATGACTTGGAAAGAACTAAAACCCTTTTTCTTATTTATTGAAGGGTTTGATTTATTCCTGTGCAGAGATCTCAAATCCAAAGAAGGCAGTGAACCATGTATGCCCATTCTGAGATCAAAGAAAAACACATTCTAGTTGTTCCTGGCTGGAACTCAACAATTTGGATTCTAGTTGTTCTGGCTACCTGACCTGCTGCCGGAAGGGCATTCTTACCGTCACAACTGTGGATACAATAGCAAAGCCCAGCACGCACTTCATATTCTCCCTTTCGGTGTCTAGCTCTATGCTGAGGTCGTTGGTATAGTCATAGTACAGCCACCATAAGACACCGCAGACAACTAGAAGACAAAACAGCAGCGGGGCTCAGCATACACACCATGAGATAGGCACCCCCGCCCTACAGAACCACCTGGAAATCCAGCTTCTGCCACCCAGGGGGGACCTTGCTCGGGCAGTGAGTTCTAAATCCCCAGGGGAGTACAGAGCCAGGGCAGCCCACGAAGAGCTGCCAGTCCCGGGAAGGTGCTCATCAGACCCAGGGAGGTGACTCCAGAGCATAGGTGTCTAGCCCACAGATGGGTATGGGTGTGGGATGAAGGAAATTTCACTGACAAGATGGTGAGAGGAATGTTAGAGTCTGAAGATCAGCATTTTCAAACAAGCTCTGCTGGTGACGACACCTGTGCGTCTGGATATTGGCTTCTCACCCACAAAACCAGGAAGGTTTATGAGGCCTGTGGGAATCACAGGTTCATTCTGAGGAAACCCTGATACTGCAAATACTCTGCATTTAGGTACAAAATGCCACCTTATGCCACAGCCACAGAAACTACAGGAAGGTGACAGTTATCTTTACTCATGGTCTATGGGGGAAGCACCCCTCACAGGTCACTGTCCTCCAACACAGGGCCATTCACAAGGTCTATGATGCTGAGGGCAAGGCTGGTTATTCAGGGCAATGAAACACTCTGGTCATGTCAGTTATCAGAAATGAAAACACCCTGTACACTTGGTAAGTTTCTGCTGCCCTGAACTTCCTGCCCTCAGCCCCCATCCAAACAACCCCTGGTGAGACCCACAATCTAACAACCAGAAAGAGAATAATAGATAGCCCAGGCCTGCCTCCACTCAGACTGGTCAGATCCTTCGCATGACAGCTGAGGGCCCCCCCAATGGCGGTGGTGAGGCGCAGGTTCAGGAAAACATCCTGTAAAATGCTTCTACCAGGCACTGGGATTCCTTAATGCTGTGGACACCAGGATCACTCCCGGGGCAGCTCATCTCAGGGCCCTCATAGTGTAGTAGAAGAAACAGCAGACTGGGCACTGACTGCTACTCTCTGTGAGATACAAGCAACTCTTGTGGCCCGCTCTGGGCCTGAGTTTTCTCTCATGTTGAATGGTGAGCTGGACAAGATACTGGCCATAGAGCCACTTAGCTCAAAAATGCCAACTTTCGAGTTATACTCACTGGAAAGGCTTTTCATTTAATGGAAAAGAAATCAATCAAGTAGAAATACTTACACAACAGTCCCAAAATAACCAATGAAATGAAAATGTGAACCAGAAGGATGGTGATGAATCGGAAGGCGAACATCATGGCCAAAGACAAGGCTGAAAAATGAAGCAAAACACATAAACCCCGACACCAACAGAGGGTAAGAATGGTAATGTAGGATTATGGAACCCTCTGGAAAAGGGAGGGCTCATGGTGTTATTCAATCCCTAAATATCCTGGAACACCCACCAAACACCAAACAAAATAGCAAGACACACCCAGTGCATTTTCTGAAGCACATACAAGTTCAGTCAGCTGCAGTAAGCCAGACTTGAAAGTACTAGCTTTCATCTTGAATTAAAAAATTAAAAAAATTAAAAAGCAGGTATTATCCCCAAATACTCAGATTTTTTTTTCCTTACAAATCCAAATGAACAATTTAAACTTTTGTTTTGTTTTGTTTTGTTTTGTTTTTTGTTTTGAGAGATTTTCACTGTAGGGCGCGTGCGCTCGCCAGACAGACAGAGAGAGACATAGAGACAGAAAGCGAGAAATCACCCCCCAGGGGGGATGGTCACGCCGCAATCCCTTCTCCTCCATTCTCCTCTCGGGATCCTGGGTACGCACGCACACGCGCCCGGCGTGAGTTTTAAGCCACCGGGTCCGGGACACGAACCACGGTCGACTACGTGGGAGTCCAACGACATAGCCATTACGCTAACTGCTGGTTCCCCAATTTAAACTTTTTATCATACTTAAGTCTGTTGACTTTGTACTGGGCTTATGTAAAGTTCTAACTTTAAAAATTCTCCGATATTCTTATTAAGTATAAAAGATTGATACCTTTAAAATGTAACATTCACATTTTTTACTATTGAATAAGCTGTATGCATTAATAACTGCATTTTATTTTCCAATAAAATGTAGGGCTTTTAGACTTACAGATTTTTCTAAGTATTTAGTATTAGTGAATCTCTAAGTACTATTTTATTTTCTAAACAATAAACTAGGTTTGCATATAGCTATTTCAATGTGGTAGCTAATACGAGTTTTGGAATCAGACAGATGTGGGTTTGAGTCTCAGGTCCACCATCTGCTCATTGGATGTACAACTTTGGACAAACAGTTTACCTCTCTGAGTCTCCTCTTCCTCTGCTCTGAGTGGGAGCAAGATTCTGATGGTTTTAATGAGCTAAGAATAAGTACAGCGCCCGACACGTGATAGGTACTCCATAAATGACAGCTGTTAATGCCATTATAAACCTAATGTATACGTGGTCCTTGGAGGACACTAGGTCATTATATGTGATATTAGCACTAACCTGGATTTCTTACTGTAATGGGCACCATGCCAGAATCTAGGGGATAAAGCATCCTATCCGGGTCATTTAAAGTCATTATCAGCCTAAATAAGAAGTCTGGAATCTATATAATGGTGACTTGCTAAGTATTTCCAAACGTTTAGGCATTAGAAACTTTTGGTAATGAAACTATGGAAAACTCAATTTGTAAACTGGCAAAAATATGTTAATGACTGATCACAGAGTTTCTTTCAGCCAAGAAGTTGGGGGTACCACTGGAAAGGCGTAGGTAACAGGCTATTACTATTGTCTAAAGAAGCGGAGTGTATTAACTTGTTCAAAGAGAAAGGTGACTTTTTTTGGAGAGGTTTTTGCTATAGGACGCGTTTGCTTGCCAGAAAGACAGAGAGAGACAGAGAGACAGGAAGCGAGAAATCACCCCCCAGGGGGGATGGCCATGCTGCAATCCTTTCTCCTCCATTCTCCTCTTGGGATCTTGGACACACGCACACGTGCCCGGCATGAATTTAAGCCATCAGGTCCAGACTCAAACCACAGTTGACTACATGGGAGTCCAGCGACATAGCCATTACACCATCTGCTGGTCCCAAGAAAGTTGACTTTTAATGAGGCTCAACAAGCTGACACAGAAAATGAGAAGTAAAGGGGTAAAGATCAGTTAGCTGCCTCCCAAAATGCCCAGAGAAGTCTCAGCTCAAGGCCGTGTTCTGCCTACCAGAACATGCCAAAGCAGGCATGTTCCTTTGAAGAGTGGGACACATCAGGCTACTGTAGTCTGATTTCATTTATCCTGGATGCACAGACCTCCTTTCCTTGCTCACAAGCAGCTTCTGTTGTGGCTGACCTACAGGGAGAGGGCATACTAGCCGGAAGACACAGTTTCTGGTCCCCCCCAGCAGTTGGGCTTTTCACAAATCGGCACTCTGCTTGACATTTCCATCTCTAATGCAGAGCTGACGACCAGATACTGAAACATAGTCAGTGCAAGGGACCCTTCAAAAAGTTCATACTCAATACTTGTTATGAATAAACTATGCATGGATTTCAAAAAATTTTCACAACAAAATAAACCTGTACTTTGCTTTCACTTTTTAAATCCCCTGCCCAGGCAACCCTGCCCAGCAGTCCTTCTGGCATGGAGTCAGCTGGTCTTCTCCCATTCTCAGTGCTCCTGCCCCCTTCATTTAAACCTGCAACATTGACAATGTCTATGAACAAAATCAGTACGAAGCTTTAGATTGAAGAAGCTTATTTTCATTATATAACATATTCAAGAGCTGGAAAATCTCGCATCCCATAAATAATTACTGAAACAAGGTTAACTGAAAATTACCTAATGCGAGGATACACAGGCCAAGGATTGTGTCTCTTCCTGACATGATTCCACTTAGAATTCGATGGAGAGTGTCACCATCATTTGTCAGGACAGGTGCAAACAGGGAGTAGCACTCCGGTGTTTGAGGGATGCATCGGTTAAACAAGGGAAAAGACTTACTAGAAATGAAAGAACAGACAGCAAAAATACCGAATGACTTGTCTACAAAATGTTTATTTAAACATTTTCAACAATTAAGAAAGCATAAGATTCACAATAAGAAAAAGATGTTTAGTATCCAAAGTACACCTTAAAAAGCCCAGCAACTTTACTCTGGATAAAGGGGACCCATAGAAACCAAAAAGATTCTTTCCCCATTTTTATATTGAGATACTGGTCTTTTAAAAGTTGATTTCTGAGACTTTTAATAAATTGGAGAAAATGGTTTTCTTATTTGAATTGTAACTTTTCTGCCTATGAACTTTGCTTCTAGTGTTATTGTCATGCAGAAATGTTTATTTTTTTATATAGTCAAATTTGTTAATTTTTCTTTTTATGCCTTCTGAGTTTGTTTGTTTGTTTGTTTTAGAGAGATTTTTGCTATAGGGTGTATGAGCTTGAGAGACAGAGACAGACAGAAAGTGAGATATCACCTCCGGGAGGGATGGCCACACCACAATCCCCTCTCCTCCACTCTCCTCCCAGGATTTTGTATAAGCACATATACATGCCCAGCATTAGTTTAAAGCCACTGGTCCGGAACTCTAACCATGGTCAGCCATGTGGGAGTCCAATGACACAACCACTATGCCATCTGCTGGTCCCTATGCCTTCTGAGTTTTAAGTCAAAGTTAGAAGCCTTTCCTATTCTTAGGTTACAAAAGAATTCTCCCTTGGCTTCTTCTAGTGCTTTCTACTTTCATTTTTATACATTTGGAGGTTCAATCCCTTCAGAACTTATCCATACAGGATGCAGGTCTATAGCTGACTTTTTCTCCTGTGTATCTACCACACTCTCCTAACACCATTTGTTGAATAATCCATCTTTTTGTCACTAATCTGAGTTGACAGTTTTACTCTGTACTAAATTCCTGTAAGTATTTGGGCCTAATCTTGTTATTTTTATTGTAATCATGATAAACTTAAAAATCAGGTTAAGGAAAAATGTCATCTTTATAATGTTGAGTTGTATTGTCAAGAATACAGTACACCTTTTCATTTGTTCAAGTCTTCTTTGTACCTCAAGAACATATTGAAGTTTTCTTTCGATGGTTCTGCATATTTCTTGCTCAATTTATTTCTAAACACTTTTTGTTTTTATATGTGTTTTTTTCTTGCCATAGTAAAAGGAGTATTTTTACATGAATCCTACAGATTTTAGTATATTAATTTCTTTATACAACCTAAATGAGTTTTCTTACTGTTTGTAGTTTTCCAGTTAACTCTCTTAGATTTTCAGGGCTATAATCATCTTGTCTACAGAACAGTAATTTTACCTCCCACTTTCCAATTTCAAACCTTGTGTTTAGTTTTCTTTTGTATTACTAAACAGATTTTTTTTTTGACAGAGACTCTTTTGCTATAGGGCATGTGTGCTTGCTGGAGAGACAGAGAGATAGAAAGCAAGAAATCACCCCTTAGGGGGATGACCATGTTGCAATCCCTTCTCCTCCAGACTCCTTTTGGGATTTTGGGTATGCACGCACATGTGCCCGGCATGAGATTAAACAGATCCTTTTTTTTTTTTTTTTTGAGATGTTTTTGCTATACGGTGCGTGCGCTCGCCAGAAAGACAGAGAGAGACAGAAAGACAGAAAGCGAGAAATCACCCCCCAGGGGGGATGGTCACGCCGCAATTCCTTTTCTTCCATTCTCCTCTCAGGATCGTGGGCATGCACGCACATGTGCCCAGCATGAGTTTAAGCCACCAGGTCCAGGACTCGAACCACGGTCAACTAATGGGAGTCCAACGACCTAGCCATTATGCTAACTGCCAGTCAGGAGACTAAACAGATTCTTAACATCAATAAATATGAATTAAAAAAAATACACATTTTTATTGTTTCTGAAAATTAAGATTAGATATCGATTGTTTGCCTTCTTTTTTTTTGCGGTTTTATATCTTATAATCAGCTGTCAGTTCTCATCCACATTAGCTGTTCTGAAAGTCGTAATACATATAATCCAAAGCACAGAACTTGTTTGATAAATTTCATCCCAATTACGTTTTCCAGACAACCACACACGGATAAGGAACAGGACATTCTCGTTTTTTTGGTTCAGACAGCTTTGGTGAGCCTGGTATTAGAGTGCACTCCTGGAGTCCTCATATGCATGGCCAATTTCTGGTTCTTTCAGAGTGCCTGAAGGACATGCTTCTTTAAGCCTACTCCCTGGATGTGCTTGTGCTGATGGTGTATTCTCAGATCACCAGCTTATTCCTACAGAACAGCCCTTCTTCTCACTACCCCTCTTTGCAGGAACCATTCTGCTAGATCCAAGTAGGAAAGGAACCGATGCCATTTCATTTGATTGCCCCCTATTCACCATAAGGCCTTAATTTTGTCAGCGTGGTTTTGTCACCCATGGTACTTTTTAGATATTTAATAACTCCGTATTGGTAAAAATAACCCATCTTAGTCTTGAGGGTGACCTTAAAAAGCATATAAATTTGGGTCACCTCTCTTGGGTGGTTGACCAGCTTCCCACTAAGTATTCATTAGCTGGAACAGGAGTACATCTTTAAGACAGCCTGTGGTTTCTCCCCCACTTCTGCTTTCTTCTTCCCACTGGCAAAAGGCATTCTAACTTGCAGGAAGTAATTTAGAGAGCTGCTTGTGTATTTAGGTGACTCTGCATGTGGAGCTCAACTGAGCAAACAATGCAGGGACATGTATGGGCATCCATGTGAAAGGCTAGAACAAGAATTTACTGGTGGGAAACCCAGCTCATTTAGATTTTTAAAACACAGGGGACTCAAACTACAGTATTACATTGTGTACCAGAGGGGAAATATGATATGCTGGCTCGTTATCTTCTGCAGGACTTTCTCACTGCTCTTAAAAACTCATACTTGCGTACACAAACCTTGATATGTAGCCACTGCTGTAAGGGGGTATGTTATACTCACATGACTGACAGAGGAAGAAGAAACAATTGGTTTAGTCAAAAAGAGGTATTTGGAGAATGTTCTTTGGCCCTATAGCCACACTTCTCATGTTCTCCAGCTTTTCAACCTTGGCACTGCTCTTCCATGATTAATATGATAATTTCCATCTTAAACAAACACTGGCTTGTGTAGGAAAGGGAAATGGAGCCCTCAAGATTATTTCTATCTCTCTCACTCCATCCAAGAAAGGCCAGTCAACCAACAGCTTTGTCTTCACTTGAAAATTTAGCATTGGAAAGGGCTGCGCTCAAGGGTGAAAAGGACTAGGGCTGGCCCAAGAGGTAGAGGGAATGGCGGCCCAAGGAAACACGGTATGGGAGGTCACTCCCCAGGCAAAATAAAACAAAGCCAGCCTTGGCTTTTATATTGGATTATGGAAATAAATATGGGAGGTTGTATATCCTTAACCCTTCCTATATCAGTGTTCTCAGTTATAAAATGTGATGAAAACAATGACTTTCACCAAAAGGCTTCTCAAGGCACAAATAAGTTAATGCATTTCAATAGCTTAGAAAAGTACCTGGCAAATACCAAAAGCTCAAAAACTCTTTGCCATTATCATCACCAGTACCAAGACATAAACTTCCTATGGAACTGCAGTTGCCTTCTCATTTATAGTAAGAGGAGAATTGATCCAACTTTAAATTATAATCGTAAAAGTTCCATTCTCTTTCAATGCCATCTGCAGATACAGTCACAGTGTTTGTTTGTTTGTTTGTTTCTTCTTTCCAAGTGTTAGATAATTTTCATTCAGCCTACTAAAACATTTTCATTTTTTTCTCTGTGTTCAGATATGTTTCATTGAAAAATGTTCATGATATTTAATGATAACCAGAACTTGAGAATGAAGATATCATAGAAAAATGGAATGGTGAGACCAGCAGTTAGCGTAATGGTTATGTCACTGGACTCCCACGTAGTCGACCGCAGTTTGCATCCCGGACCCGGTGGCTTAAAACTCACGCCAGACGTGTGTGCGTGCGTGCCCAGGATCCCGGGAGGAGAAGGGATTGCAGCGTGGCCATCCCCGCTGGGGGGTGATTTCTCACTTTCTGTCTTTCTGTCTCTCTCTGTTTGTCTGGCGAGCGCACGTACCCTATAGCAAAAACCTCTAAAAAAACCCAAAATGGAATGGTTATTCTCTTTTGTAAATAATTCCCTCCTTCAATTACTTACAAGATGAAGTATTTATTTTAGAAAAGCATGTCACAAGAATGACTAACTATATATTTTCTACCTCTAAGGCAGATAAACCTACTTGAGTCTTTTTGAGTATAAGTACCTGCTAGACCAGCATATTTTAGGCTGCACTCTTATTTTTTTAAGAGTTATCTTATTTAACTTTATTCATTTACTTATTTAATTTGACCAGAGGGACAGAGTGTGTGTGTGTGAGAGAAGGTGAAAGCGAGAAAGCCAGACGCCAGGTCCGGGACTCGAACTGCATTTGGCCATGTAGGAGTCCAGCGCCTCCAATCACCACGCCACCTGCCAGCCCCTTAGGCTTCACTTTTAACCAGTCAGAAGACTATGAAATTAATTATTTTTAAAGCTTATTCGTTTATTCCTTTAATAAGTGAAAGATGCAGAGAGAGAGAGAGAGAGAGAGACAGAGAACTCCTAACAGGATCTTGATGCTGCACCCACCCTCGGGAAGCCCTGGATCATGGGCATAAACATGCTAAGCGTGTTTAAAGACGTTTCCAGACGTGAACCCAGAACCTTCCCACGTGGGTCAACCTTGGATGGTGTCATGTTTCACTGGAGTGCCACCATCTGGCCCCACAGATAAATTATTATTTTTTTAAAAAATACTTATTTATTTAATTCCACTTGTATTATTTTTCAATTTGACCAGAGAGAGACAGAGAGAGAGAGAAAGGGAAAGGGAGAAAGTAAGCCGCCAGGTCTGGGACTCAAATCGTGGTTGGCCATGTGGGAGTCTGGCGCCTCTAACCACCACAACACTTACCAGCTCCATAGATAAATTATTTTTAAAAAGTGAGAGAGAAACTTTTAGTGTAAATCATAGGCGGTCAGGGGAAATCTTATTTTTTGATATTTCCATTTCTATTTTATACATGTATGTATGTAAGAAGGTATGTGTTTGTGATATATTTATTATTTTGGGTACCAACCAAAAATTTGATAAACACTCTCCTACATGGTTGGCGTAACAGCCATTTAACTTATATTATTATTATTTCTCAGAAATTTTGCATTGAGGTCTCTTACAATGTAAACATGCATACTTTTTTTTTTTTTTTTTTTAAAGAATGGCTATTTAGTATATCTTAGAAACCCAGTAGTGGCAATGAATATTTACAATATTTTCCCCCTTAGCCTTCTCAAAGATATGAACATGAACCACTTACTGTGGCATACCTGTTCCCTCCATCCAACTTTACTCTACATTTATATGGCGTCCGCTCTGTGCCAGGGACTACGCTAATTGACAAAAATGAAAAAGACCCTGTGAGAAGTTCAATGAATGTTATTTTTTTTTTCTTTTGCTAGAGGGCACATGAGCTTGCCAGAATACGAGAGAGAGAGAGAGACAGAGAGAGAGAAAGAGAGAGAGAGAGAGAAAGCACCCCTGTCGGGAGATGGTTATACTGCAATCCTCCATCTCTCCTCTCAGGATTTTGGGCTCACACACACACATACACTCTAGACGTGTCTTTCAAGCTGCAGGGTCTGGGACTTGAACTGAGCAGTCAGCCATGTGGAATCCAGATGGCTTAACCACCATGCCACTGGCTGCTGCAATAAGTATGTTCTTGATAGGAACCTGTTTTGAATGAGCAGTAACGTATGGTGACCATGTACCTTACCTACCTGCTCTGTTTCTTATAAAGAAATAAAGACTATAGAAACTAGCAATGTCTGATTGCAATAAAATGGCAAAAGTAAGTGATTTCTACTTTGTAATAAATAGTTGGAGTAGAAAAAAACACACACTGACTACTATATAAATCACTCATTTGGTAATAATTCTGATACTACCTTTTGCTAGCTCTAGTATTCTTTGAAGGCTATGAGCGCCTTTATTGCTTGCTGAGTTTTCCCTAATCCATTGTCTGCCACGTACATGGGAAACAGTCCTTCTTTGTTCATCCCTAGCCTCCTGGTTGTCACAAGCTCCCTGCAGACAGCAGATGTACTTGATGTCTTTGGGCTTTCCGCAAAGCCTAGAAGAGTAATGGATGTGCAACAAGTATCCAAAACTGCTCTTGATGGTTAAGAAAAAGATACCAAAGCTTACCTTGGGGGAACTGGTAGCCTGGGGCACAGTGAGTCTGTTTCTGGACTCTGGGTATAGTTGAAGGAATTCAAACTATAAACACACAGGAAGGACCCTGAAAGCAGAAGACACACAGTATGGACCATCCTCCCAGGTGAGTCATTAAGGAAACCGCAGCCATTTCACTAAACCAGAAAGGAGACAGAAGAAATTGCCCACATTTAGAAAACAGTTCTATGGGTGACCTAAACACAAAGTCAGCCTTCAATGTGTGGTCTGTTAGGGACTCTTTTTCTCTCTTTAAAATCCCAAATTCAACCCTGAAAGTTTCATAATTGACCCTAAAATTATTTGAAGTATATTTGAAGATGATTTATTATAGGAGCTCAGAGGCTTAGTTTTTTTTATTTTTTATTTTTTGAGAGTTTTTTTGCTACAGGGTGCATGCACTCGCCAGAAAGACAGAGAGAAACAGAGAGACAGAAAGCAAGAAATCACCCCCCAAGGGTGGATGGCCATGCCTCAATCTCGTCTCCTCCATTGTCCTACTCGGGATCTGGGACATGCACGCACATGCATGCGCCTGGCGTGAGTTTAAGCCACTGGGTCTGGGACTCAAACCATGATCAACCACATGGGAGTCCAGTGACATAGCCATTATGCCAACTGCTGGTCCCGAGGCTTAGTATTTTTAACTCAACTTAGCAAATAATTTTATGAAAATCTGGCATACCATTTCTCAGGCAGAAAAAATTTGCAGTAGGTTGCCTTGAATTTCTTTTACTTCCCTTTGTTTATTTGATCCTTACGACAAATCTAAACAGCAGGTCCACAGCACGGTACTCCAGTTACACAAATGTATTTGGTACAGCTTACAACTCCACGAGTCAGTAAAGGTATTGAGTGTCCCCAGTAAGTCCATAAGAGAACATATTTGTTGGCAATGCCACATGAGGCCTGTGGTGCCTCCCTAGGGCTGGATGACCTGTGCATGGAGCTCTCTGACCTCTGCCTGACCCTGACTGTCCACTCTATGCTCCTGTGGAAGGTCGTTCCCCCACAGTGGGCAGAGAGCACATGCTGGGCAGTCAGGTTTCAAACAAAACCAGATAGGGCCAGCCCCACAGCCAAGTGCTAAGGGAGACAGATACCATATGATCACCTGCAGTTTGAATCCCAGCCCCCGATGGCCTGTACCCCAAATCCTAACAGGATAGAGAAATGGAAGAGAAGGGACTGCAGGGTGACTACTCCCCACTTGGGGGGTGGCAAGTGCTTTCTTCCTCTCTCTCCATCTGAGGAATGCACATGGACCCTGGCAATTAAAAAAAAAAAGATAATACCAGACAATGTTTAAGACCTTTTCTATTCAGGAAGAGACAACCCACAAGGAAGTTCACTTTCCAGCCTTATAGAGAAAGCAAGGTTAGACTGAATTTTCTTATCTAGGTCCCCATAGGTTACCCCACTAAGGGGGTGAAAGCAAACTGGCCCCCCGATGCCTACCACTGGTATTTGCAAAGAGCTGGACCTCTTCCAGCGTGTTGAGCTGCTCCTCAGGACAGCTGGACACACAAAGGGCAATGGTACCAAGCCTCAAGCCTTTGACTTCCGGGTTGCAGGAATTCATAAAGAACACATGTCTAAGGAATTAGATGAAACAGAAAAATGTCTTAGAGCATTGAGTCTTATTGGGTTTAATTGTGGCCTTAAAAATATTCGCAAACTAATAAATCCAAGAACTACTAAAGCAAAGTTTGCCAATCAAATGCTTCAACAACGCTGGACATTTGTTAATGCCAACTGGAGATCACCTGCCAAGTTGCACGGCTTGTGAGTCGCATGCAAATGCTAACATTTTTCTTCTACAGATTCAGCATTTCGGGGGGACAACAGGAGGGAGTTACCCAAGGCAGTCATGGAGGAAGAGAAGTGGCTGATTAAACTAAGGATTGCTAGATCAGCCCAGTGCATGGACTACACACAGGCAACCATGGAAAACATACGTGCACCTGAGAGCGTGCAAGAACACTTCAGAGAATAACTGACCGACCATGGGAAAGTGAGGAGTGGAAAGAGGGGGCGGTGGCTGGAAGTTAAAGGCCTGCACCACCACAACTCTCCTAGTCCGGGAGCTAGGATACTCTAGAGAGTCGGCTGCAGTCAGCTGCTGCTGGGTAAATGGACATAAGAGCAAAACTAGTTGTTGCCATTAATAGGTCAAGTGGTGGGGGCAGCTCTCAGACCCTTTTTTAACACTGCTGAAACCACATGAATGTCAGAAGAGCCTTCTAGGCTACTTGCTATGGGAGCGACCTTAAAAGAGGATTCTAGAAGCTTCTTTTCCCTCTAGCTGAGAATGAGAAGGGAAGATAGTCCAATAGGAGCTAGGGGACAGATTTCCTGGATATGTGATAAGCATATACTTAATTTTCATAAAAATGTTTATTTTGGGGACCAGCAGAGGGTGTAATGGTCACGTTGCTGGACTCCCATATGGCTGACCACAATTCAAGTCCCAGACCTTGCAGCTTAAATTCATCTGGGCACATGGACAAGCATGCCCAAAACCCTGGGAGGAGAATGGAGAAGAAGGGATTGCAGAGAGGCCATCCCCATGGTGGTAATTTCTCACTTTCTGTCTCTCTGTCTCTCTGTCAAGCACATGTGTCCTATAGCAAAAATCTCTCTTAATTTTTTTTTTTAAATTTCAATTGTGATAAATATGCATAACATTAAGTTTGCCATCCTTAGTTTTTTTTACACTTAATCACTGTACATCTTACAGCATACAAAATGCATTTTCCCAGCATGAATATAGAGCATATTGCAAGTGTACAGTTCACTGGCAACAAGTACTTTCAAGTGACAACTTGTCACTGCCATTATCCATCTATAGACCTCTTTTCATGTTGCAAAATGGAAACCCGACCACAATTCAAGTCCCAGACCTTGCAGCTTAAATTCATCTGGGCACATGGACAAGCATGCCCAAAACCCTGGGAGGAGAATGGAGAAGAAGGGATTGCAGAGAGGCCATCCCTTCTGGGGGGTGATTTCTCGCTTTCTGTCTCTCTGTCTCTCTGTCAAGCACATGTGTCCTATAGCAAAAATCTCTCTTAATTTTTTTTTTTAAATTTCAATTGTGATAAATATGCATAACATTAAGTTTGCCATCCTTAGTTTTTTTTACACTTAATCACTGTACATCTTACAGCATACAAAATGCATTTTCCCAGCATGAATATAGAGCATATTGCAAGTGTACAGTTCACTGGCAACAAGTACTTTCAAGTGACAACTTGTCACTGCCATTATCCATCTATAGACCTCTTTTCATGTTGCAAAATGGAAACCCTGCACCATTAAACAATTCACCATCCCTCTCCCTGACCCCAGTCCCTGGCAGCCACAATTTTTCTTCTTGTTGCTGTGAGTGTGACTACTTTGGATTCGTCACATAGGTGGACATATACAATATTATCTTTTGGTGACCAGTTTCTCTCACTTGGCATAATGTCTTCAAGGTTCAGCCATGTTAAATGGTATGTCAGAATTTCTTTCCTCCTCAAGACTGAATACGAGGGTGTGTATATATCTGCTACCCTTTGTTCACCATTCACCCTTCCATGGACACTCAGCTACTGAGAATGAAATAGGTACATTCCACTTGGAAGAGGAATGTGCGCTCGCCAGAAACACAGAGAGAGAGATAGACAGAAAGCAAGAAATCACCCCCAGAGGGGACGGCCATGCCACAATCCCTTCTCCTCCATTCTCTTTTTGGAATCTTGGGCACGCATGCACACACGCCTGGCATGAGTTCAAGCCACGAGGTCTGGGACTTGAACCGTGGTCAGCTACATGGGAGTCCAGCAACACAGCCATTATGCCAACTGATGGTCCCACTATTTTAAAATTTGACCTGAGAGAGACAAGAGAGGGAAAGTGAGAAAGCAAGCTGCCAGGTCCAGGGCTTGAACCATGGTCAGCCAAGTGGGAGTCCAGCTCCTTAACCATCATGTCACCTGCTGGCCCCGACACTTACTTTTTTAGGGTCATATCTTGCCCTGAAAGAGGGGCCCCTTCCACTGGAGAGTTCCTCTTGCCACACACGTTGCCAAAGCTGTCATAGCCAAAGAGGAGTCTTCCGGTAGCTCCAGCTATGACGGAGTAGCCCATGATGAACATCTGAAAGAACCAAGGAGGCACGTGAGAGGCTAGTCAAAGGGCTGGAGATATGGACCCCACCTCACCAAAGATATGACGGGGAAGTCTCCAACATCACTGCATTCTCCCCTTCAGCAACGCCTCAACAAGTCAAACCCATCGAAGTCCTGCTGTTCCAATACTATCGACACTTCCTTTAGCAGGTCAGGTAGGAAGCACGGAGCAGATTCTTTGCATTTCCCTACTACCGCTTTGTGCTTCTTACCCTGTTCTTCAAGAGTCTTCCATGTTTTCTTTTTGGCCTAACTTCACCAGGACAGCTCCATTCTTTTTTTCCATTCTTTTTTTCTTTTTCTTCTTGAGGTTTTTGGTGTACTAAGTGAATCAGGGCTGTACTAATTATTTCTGGTTTTGTTTTCCTTTCTTTCTGATTTCCTTTTTGGCTTACTTTGTTGTTGTTTTTCTTTTTCTTTTTTTTTTTTAAAGGGAGAATTTTTTTTTTTGAGAGGTTTTCGCTATAGGGCGCATGTGCTCGCCAGACAGACAGAGAGAGACATAGAGACAGAAAGTGAGAAATCACCCCCCAGGGGGGATGGTCACGCCGCAATCCCTTCTCCTCCATTCTCCTCTCGGGATCTTGGGCACGCACGCACGCACACGCGCCCGGCGTGAGTTCTAAACCACCAGGTCCAGGGCGCGAACCACGGTCGACTACGTGGGAATCCAGCAACATAGCCATTACGCTAACTGCTGGTTCCCAAGGGAGATTTTTGATATAGGGCGTGTGGGCTCACCAGAGAGACAGAGAGATAGAAAGCAAGAAATCAACCCCCTCCTCTCAGGGGACAGCCATGCTTCAATCCCTTCTCCTCTATTCTCCTCTTGGGATTTTGAGCATGCACACACATGCACCTGGTGCAAGTTATTTATATATTTATTTTTAAAGAATTATTTTAAAACATTTTATCTATTATTATTTTTAAATTTACCAGAGAGAGGCGCAAAGTGAAAAAGCAAGCCACCAAGTCCAGGACTCTAGCCATGGTCAGCTATGTGGGAATCCAGCATCTCAACCACCATGCCACCTGCTGGCCCCCAATGTGAGTTTAAAATTGCCAGGTCCAGGACTTGAACCACGGTTGACTATGTGGGAGTCCAGCAATGTTACTATGATGCCATCTGCTGGTCCCCCTTTATGTCTTACTTTTAAGGCACTCTATAGAGGTAATGTAGCTAATAGGTATCAAAATCTATAAGTCTGAAAATACTGTTTTGGAGTAGTTGTTTAAAATGCATGGAAGAAATTCATGAATTCTCTTGGACAAGAACAACTTGTAACCTATCGTCATTTTAATCGGATTTTACAGTGCAAGTGGAATAGTTGATAGCTCAGGTCACACTGTGCCATGTATCTACACTGGCAAGTCCTATACCAAGACTGACCATCTCTTCATAACGCGAACAGTGTTGTGAGTTGCCCCATGGGCATTACTGCCTGAGAGTGACAAGTTCATTCCAGGAGAGGTGATATACCGTTCAGGAACACACAGTATTGATGCCTTATTTTCCAAAGGTACCTTGTCCCAAAGTCCAATACGTTTTAGATTTTCTGTATCTGTATGCATTACTGATTTAGAATTCAAAATAACAAAAATCTCTCAGGTGCCCAGTGTATGCCAGAGACTGTTATTGAGGGACCCAAAGATGAATAAAATCCCATCGCTGTTCTCCAGAAACTCAGGTTAAGGACCAGCATATGGCATAAGGGTTACATCACTGGACTCCCACATAGTGGACTGCAGTTCAAGTCCCAGACCTGGCAGCTTAAACTCATGCTGAGCAGGTGTCTATGTGTGCCTAGGATCCCCAGAGGAGTGTGAAGGAGAAGGCATTGTGGTGTGGCCATACCCCCGGGGGGTTATTTCTCACTTTCTGTCTCTCTCTCTGTCTTTCTGGCGAGCACATGCACCCTATAGCAAAAGCCTCTCCAATAAAATAAATAAATAAATAATTTTAAAAAAGGAAAAGAAAGAAAGAAAAAGAAAAAGAAAGAGAAACTCAGGTTAGAAGACAAGCGGGACTCACCATATGTGCACTTTCATAAAGGAGGCAGCTCTCTGCCCCTCCTCATTCCCCCAGCTCCTCCTAGGTCCAACTGGTCAGATTCCAGGATAAATGGGTCATCTTTGCTGATAAACAGGGTCACTCAGACTTTACTTAAAGGCTGTGGCTGTAAGGGTGACCCTGTGTGTCCATGGCTGGCAAGGTAAGCTGACCCAGCCTTAACTCCTATCCCTCCGAGCGGGAGTGTGGAAGGTCCTGATTGTGTTTGGACATAGGGAAGTGGTCCTGTGCTCCTGCCCAGCTCCCCAGCAACCTAACAAAGTGATCCTTTCCATTGACCACCATTCTTTACACGCGAGTGCCCTTGGAAACCTTGTGGGGAGAAATAGAAAGTTTTTTTCTGGCGTATTTGTGGCCCTTAAAATTCTCCTCTAGAAGCTGAGAGAGATGGTGCATTTGCAACAGCTTCTGCACAACTTGCCCACTCTGGGAGCAGGATTTGGGTATTCCTGAGCTCCTGCTATAAAGCTACTACTCTAAAGCATCACTGTTCTAATTTCAAACACACGAGTGCAATTCCATGTGAGACATGACACAGGAGGAATGTACATAATACACTGGTCTGCTGATGCCACCAAAACGATGACCATCAGCTGTGGCTGGGGCGATTGGGGACACAGAACCTTGAAAGGCGGATAGGAAAAGGTAAGGTGGTGAACTCTGCATAGGTGAGAGGTGGCAGAGGTGGCCCAGACTTTGAGGCTTTCTGTTCTATGTTTCATGCCTTGCTATTTGCAGGAGACGGTCCCTATTTATAATTCTGGCCCCTTCCCATAAGCCTCTTTGATCCAGCCCAACTCAGCACTACACCATCAATAAGAATCCGGTCAAGTACATCCCGGTCAGAATGTTCATTTTGAAAGCAGGACAGCGGAGGCAGAAAAAAATGCTCCTTGCTCTCTTTTGGATATATATGGCTAAATAATGTTGTAGGACATCCTAAAAGTTAGTTAAGAAATGATCCTCTTTGGGATGGCCCCATGTCCTACTGGTTATGTGAGCTGGATCCCACATGGCCAATCATGCAGTTCAAATCCCAGTGTGGCAGCTTGAAAAATGCCAAGTACTCATACATGTGTGCCAATCCCAACAGGGTAAGAAATGGAGAAGGGACCGTGGCATAACCATGTCCCATGGGGGAAGGCAGTGCTTTCTCCTTCTCCCTGTCTGTCTGGTGAGCACACACATACTCTGGCCAAAAAAAAGGGGGAGGGCATTAAAATTGAACATAGGTGGGACCAGCAAATGGTTTAATAGTTATGTTGCTGAACTCCCATGTAGTAGACTGCAGTTCGAAGCCTGAACCCAGTGGCTTAAAACACACTGGGCACATGTGCGTGTGCCCAAAATCTCAAGAGGAGATTGGAGGAGAAGGGACTGTAGCATGGCCATCCCCCTGGGGGTGTGTGATTTCTCATTTTCTGTCTGTTTTTCTGTCTTTCTCCGACTCTCTGGTGAGCACACATGCCCTATAGTAAAAAACTCAAACAAAATAAAACAAAAACCCTGAACACAGGAAAGAGAATGTGGGTTAGTGAAACCTTCAGATTTATTTTGCATATGAAATGTAATTTTGAAGCCGCTTCCAGCTCTCTGCCACCTCTCAGCTGATTCATAATGTTTCACGCTGTGCTAGACCATCAATAAATCTTTCCTCAGGACAGTTGTTAGGCTGACAGCTAGGAGTGATGTGCTAGGTCTAAGCTGTTGTGGGCTGCGGAAGAGCACTAATTAACATTAACAGCTCAAGGTCAAAGCTGGCAGGGCCGAGGCAGGGCAGTTGCTCCCTGCATTTGCACCTTAGGAGACCCAACCCTCTGTGGGCAAGTTATGCAGAAGGTGCTGCAGGTGCACCGTCTCGCTCAGCTCCTACAGGAGAGTCCCAAGGGCCACCATGTAAGCAACATGAAACATTCCATTAAGCCAGCCTCGCTTCATGCCTCTAACCACGTCTGAGTAAAACCAGTCAGTAAAAGTCCTCAAGTGAACAAGTGTCTTTCTTACTTGGAAGAGGAACCAACGTGATATATCAGGGTCTATTCAAACAGAATTCTTTTCAACCAAGGGTAATTACTCTCGGGTAGTTACTATCAGGCTTTATAAATTAATCATTTACCATGCAGCAAATGGCATGCCTCAACCTGACAAGGGTGGTTTCATGAGAAATCTGAATGTGGCTTTTCCTGCTGCTACCTACAACTCTAAGATAAGTATAAAAGCATTAAGGTTTGTTTCCAAGAGACTCTCCCAGGACTAACATGCACAGCCAGAGGTCTCCCAGCAATCACTACACAAAGAACTTACAGTGTGTGTTTGTGTGTGTGCGCGCGTGCGTGCGTGTATCATTGCTTATTTAACTGTAGGGTTTGTGTTTAGGGCCGGTTGCTGCCAAGCACAATATACCAAGAGAGTGTGTGTGTATATCCAGCTAAAGTAAATGTGATTTATTTCTGGGTTTCCCCTGGATTTTCTTTTGTTAGAGACAACGCCAAAGTTTGAGGAATACTTGTTTTGGGGGGGGGGGGTATGGCCTGTACGAAAAAAACCAAAACAAAAATAAAAACCAAAACCAACTTGCTCTCACCAGGAAATAAGAGAAGATACACAGACTAAATAATGATCCCATTGCAAACTGGCTCCCATTTTTTTCCGGCAGTCACCTCTCAGGACGCCGCCTGTCATAAGAAGGCAGCCAGACAATTTCTAAGGACTACCAGATGTTTACTCTGGGCTAATGGCAGACGTCTCTCTCACTGCCGCACAAAGTCTACGCGACTTAAGTGTGGGGCAGTTATTTCACACACACACACACACACACACACACACAATCCTCTTCCCTGTCAAGCGCAGTACTTACCAAACCAGTCCAGAAGAGAAAGAACAGGAACAACCATGCCTTATCTGTGCATTTCCTATAAATCTGGGGTCGCCACTCTCTCTGCCTGGGGGTTCTCTCTGCAGAAACCTTCCAGGAAAGTGGGACAGATGAGAAAAAAAGAGGATAAATCACCAGGAAGGCCCCACCTAAAGAGCAAACCTACTCAAAGACTGCTCAAAGCGGCGTCTTTTCGTTCAGTTTTAACCTGGCCACCTAAAGCTCTTTCGCTGAGCTTTGAAGCACTTGCTCTGGGCGGAAGCACCTGTTCTGCGCCGGGTGGACGTTGAGTCCCCAGCCCCAAGTTCTTACTGGGGTACACCTGAAGGTGTCCCCAGGCTGGTACCCTGAGTCTCACATGCGTCAAGGTATGGGGTCCGCCAGGCCAGGTGTCCCCAGGGGTCACCAGGGTTGGGGCTGTCTCCTGCAGGGGTGCAGGACGCGGAAGCGTCCCGGCAGGGCAGGTGCGTGCAGAAGGGGCCAGTCCTTCTCAGGCTAGTCCCCGAGGGCCGAGGCTGCGGGCACTTACCAGGTACTCTGCGCCCAAGCACTGCATGGTGCTCTCGGCCGGCTGACCGCGAGTCTCCGCCGCCGCCCCCACAGCGCCACGACGCAGCGCCCGCCGCC